GGAGCCCCGCCGCGATGCCCAGGGAAGACAGGGCTACGTGGAAGTCCAACTATTTTATGAAAATCATCGTGAGTGACGGTGCGGCCTCGCAGGCCGCGGGGCGCTGCTCGGCGTCCGCGGGGAGGGGGCTGGCCTGCCTCTGCGGGGGTTCTTTAAAAGATATTGGGTGCTGTGTGTTACCTGTTTTAAGGAATGATTTCTGGTCGCGAGAAGAGATTTGGGCAGTCTTAATCAGACTGTTTTCAAGCTTCGCAGGAAAATTTCTTGCTCTGGCAGTTACAGAGGTAATTTGCCTAGGGAACTTCTTAGGTTGCTGAGATAGACGTGCACCTTATAGCTGCAGTTTAGCATCTGTTCGGGCTGAGCGCTCAAACTTGTGGTTCACCTTGAGGTTCGGATGCTGCTCTGTACCTTGGGTTTCTTTGTCCAGTTACCATGCTTCTCTTTCTGCAGCAACTCCTGGATGATTATCCAAAATGTTTCATTGTGGGAGCAGACAATGTAGGATCCAAGCAGATGCAGCAAATCCGTATGTCCCTGCGTGGGAAAGCGGTTGTGCTGATGGGGAAGAACACCATGATGCGCAAAGCTATTCGTGGTCATCTGGAGAATAACCCGGCCTTAGAAAAGTGGGTAGTGCTGTCTGAATGGGCTCCTGGAGCCTCTTTCTGGAAGGAGGAGACGTTATCTGAGGAACGGGACTGAAGGGTGTTGTCTTTCCTTCAGGCTACTGCCTCACATCCGTGGGAACGTGGGCTTTGTCTTCACCAAGGAGGATCTGACTGAGATCAGGGATATGCTGCTGGCTAACAAGGTAACGGAGATTGGTTCTCGATGTGCTTCTGCGCTAGGAGACAGCAAGAAAAAATAAAACTAAACCTTCTTGGAGAATACTTGATTATTAGGAGCTTTCAAAGATGGGGAGCTGGGCCCCTGCAGCCATAGCTCAGCTCCTCAGGTTCCCCCTCTGTTTCACTTGTGGGTGTCCGGTTGATGTGTATCTTGGAGGAGCACTACAGGGAGGAATCGATGCCCTTCCCGTGGGGTCTGAGGTGAGCGTTCTTCCAGCTTCTCTTCTTGTTTCCCCTTCTTCCAGGTGCCAGCAGCTGCTCGTGCCGGTGCTATTGCTCCTTGCGATGTGACTGTGCCAGCCCAGAACACTGGTCTCGGGCCTGAGAAGACCTCCTTCTTCCAGGCCTTGGGCATCACCACGAAAATTTCCAGAGGAACCATTGAAATTCTGGTTAGTGAGCAGCATGCTGCTGTGATCTCAAGCCCTTCGTGGACTGAAGGGCCCTGATGGTGGCACTCTGTGGAATTGCCTTACCTTGAGTGCTACTGCGGAGGGACAGGAGGGATAAAGGTCCAAGCTGCTGTTAGTGCTGGAATGCTTTATTAGCAGTCTGATTGCTTCACTTCAAGAACCTCTAAAGGTGGATGTCTGGCTTGGGTCAGGTATGCAGTGACAGGGAATTTAAGTTCCTCCATCAGGTCTTCGCTGCATGGGGTTAAGCTCTGCTGAAGGAACTCATAGACAAACTAGTCTCTAGGTCATGCGTTAAGGGTACTGCTTTTCTCCAAGCTGAGGTGCTCCTGCTGCATGGCGTAGGGTTTTCTCCAGTTGTGCAGCTGAACTTTGAGCCTGTTTTTGTTGCCCTCGTTTGTTCCTTCAGTTCTGTCCCTTGCCGTTAGGAACGTGCGTTTGAGCCTTGTTGCGTTGATGTGCCTGAATTTCTTGGCGCATGTTCACTCGTGTTTTCCCTTTATTCCCCAGAGTGATGTGCAGCTAATCAAGACTGGAGATAAAGTGGGCGCCAGTGAAGCCACCCTGCTGAAAATGCTGAACATCTCCCCGTTCTCCTTCGGGTTGGTGATCCAGCAGGTCTTCGACAATGGCAGCATTTACAATCCTGAGGTGCTGGACATCACTGAGGAGACCTTGCACAAGCGCTTCCTGGAGGTAAGGGCTGCAACCCATCTCCGTTGCATTCCATCCCTTTTGCGCAGCTGCTAGGGAGAAAGCAGACAGTTGGGGCAGCCGGCACTGCCCTAGAATGAAGTATCACCTCCTGTACTTGTGCTCGAGTCTGCAGAGCCAGGAGCTCTCCTTAACGCCTGGGAGAAACAATCTTTCAAGGAGCACCTTCTCTAGGCTCTTTAGTCTGAAGCTGGGGAAGACGTACTTTGCTTTTCATTGTTATACTGAGGTGCATGGGATCAGGGAATGCATAAAGGCAGTCAGGTGTAAATGGAATCCAGAAACTACTTCATCGCATACTTGGAGTTGCATAAATCCTGATGTTTTTGTCTAAATTTACTGGAGCCATGTCGCTTGTATGCGACGCATGCTATCCCCCCTTACGTTTAAGGTGCAGGGGTGTGTTGTCATCTGTAATGGTTTCTAGTCCAGGTTATTTGTCAGAGCATGGACACATGAGGTTCTCTTCTCACAGGGTGTCCGTAACGTTGCTAGCGTCTGCCTGCAAATTGGGTACCCCACCATTGCTTCTGTGCCCCACTCCATCATCAATGGGTACAAGCGGGTCCTGGCCGTGGCTGTGGAGACCGACTACACCTTCCCGCTGGCTGAAAAGGTAATGGCTGAGAGTGATCTGGTCAAAAGGTGATTAAAAGTGCAGCGAGGTACTTTCACGACAACACTTTGAACGCCACTTGGTTTGAAAGGTCTCAGACCTGTCTCTGATCGTGGGTCTGCTGAGCTCTGGAGAGGTGGGCCTGCGTGCTAGGGCTGTCCTGGGAGGGACGCTTTTTTCAGAAAGTTTTGTTTAAATGACGAGCGTCCATTTGCTGTGGAAAGCTGACACGCCTGTGTTGTGAAGGGGCTGGTGGAGTTCCTGCCTCTCAGGGCTGTTAAACTTGAGCGCAACTGAGGCGCTGTAAGGGGGAGGGGGGGAGGCTGGGGAAAGAGAGGTTGTCCCAGCCGCTTTGCTGCTAGCAGGCAGAGGTCCGGGGCCCAGTCTGGGCTTTGAGAGGGCTTTCCTCCGCCCTTGTCCCTTCCTCCTACTTTGATTCTACTTGTCTCTGGTTCTTCATACATGGCAGTGATAAGCGCGTTCCCTTTGGCTTCTGGGAAGTTGTCAGCGTTGCGTTTTGGTTGCAGGGGTTCAGTCCCTCTGAATGTTTCCTCTGACTTTTCTGCTTTTGCAGGTGAAGGCCTTCCTGGCAGACCCCTCTGCCTTCGTGGCTGCTGTCCCCGTGGCAGCTGAGACAGCCGCACCCGCCGCCGCCTAAAGAGGCAGCAAAGGAGGAGTCGGAGGAGTCTGATGAGGACATGGGATTCGGTCTCTTTGACTAACAGCAGCCACAGTCTCTCTCCATGTCAGAGTTGGTCAAATTGGAGAAATAAAAAGCTATTTTACACCTTCATGTGTGCCAGCGTTGATGGTATAGCCTTCAGGTCACCGGGGGCTTGGGAAAAGCGTAATCCAAGTCCTCTGGAGCCCTGATTTTATAAGGGGCTCTGCAGCCAGCGCTCCAGGAAAGCCACGTTTTTAAGAGGAGCGCCGCTACCCCTGTCTAAAGACATGCTGATAGAAAAAGGAGGAGGCAACTGCGACAGAAGCAGCCCAGGTGTAAATTGTCCTGTTTCAGGCAGGCTGTGCGGTGCGGGGCTGGCGAAGGACCCAGCTGGCGCCTTCACTTGCAGAAACGGGGGTTTGTCTTCCCCGCTGGGGGGGTGGGGG